GGGGGGAATCGGATATGTGAATCTTGAGCTTGTAGATGAGAGGGGGTAGGATTCCTGTTTTTGCGGTTGCTCGACTTACAGATAACGGATTTGGGCAATTGAACTCTATGTTTCACACAGAATGGCCAGTCGGGACGGGCACAAAGGCGGGCAGAGGACAGGGCGACGGGCGATTGGCAATGACGGCGAGGGCCTGGAATTCCGGCGATGGCTGTAGCGGAATGCGTGTGGGATTGGAGGATGTGGTGGACGGTGTGCGATTTGCGATCGGTGGGAGCGGTCGATGCGAGGAGCGCTGGAACAGACACGACAGGATGGGATGGGACGGGTTCGGAGAAAGCAGAGCTCGAAAGCCTCCGCCTGTCAGATGCTAATAAAAAGTGTCCACTCTGGTCGGTAAGGGGCTTGTGGAGGGATAGCGCAGGAGACCCAGCAAAGCAAGATTCGCTCTCTCGGAGCTGGAAATTGCAGCTCCGCCACCCCATTGGCTGCTCAGGGGTAGCCGCGGGTGGAGGCACCATAAGGCCCAGTAGCACAGTCCCGCATGCATCGACATACAGAGGCGGGGCCCGGAGTTCAGACGCGTTATTGCACAAGCGAACGGCCTGGAGGGTGGGGAAGCCAATTCCATCTCGCGCTGCTTTTGCCATGTTAAATCTTGCCTTCAGCGAGCGCCCGCATAATCCAGGTTTTATTTCATCGTTTCTGTTTCCTGCTGCTGCGGAGGAAGCTCCGGTCGGGCCTCGTCTATTATTTTGTTTTATTTTGTTTTATTTTGTTTTCTTCCCCTTCTCTCGTCCGCTCGCCGCGAGCCAGATCCTCGCTCTTCCTCCCGACTACCGTCTCGTAGGTCTCCCCTTGAACATGAATGGCTGGGAGGGATGCGGCCCGTGTCAGGCCGTTTGGGTCGACTGCAGGATCCCTTGCTGGGTTACTCCCAATTGCTCCCAATCGCCGTGCGTCTTGGCCCCGTCCCGTCGTGCTGGGCAAATGCTCACTAGCGGTCGATCCGCTGTATGGAACGAACTGTAGCTAAGTCACGTCGACTGCTCGTGATCACGTCCCGTTAGACGGGCTAGTCAGACGCAATCGTTAGCTCTCCGGGACTTGCGACGCCCCCAACCCGTCTGTGCTGGTTGGCACACGTCGCGATGTAGCCTGAGCGGCAAATACCAACACTTGCAGTTTCTTAGTGGTACGGTGGGTTCCGCGATTCGATTCCCGGGGAAGCATGGAGCCCGAGATGGCCGCATAGACAGGTACTCCTCGTAGAATGTCCCGCTGAATTGGTGGTGGCCTTTTGGCCAGCTGCTACGACACTAGTTGCGAATAGGCGAGATTGCACCGCGGGCCTGGTGCCAGCACCTGCGGATAACCGACTTTGCCTGCCCACTTGGGCACAGCCAGTGCAACGTCGTCGCAACCGGTGCAAGACACGACAACCCGAGGAAAATTCCGCTCCGCGCCCGGTTGGTCGAGTTGTCGATAAGTGCAAATATGATACGATATCTACCACTCCATCCCATAGGTACGGGCACCTACCTGCCTCCCTTGGGGTATACCTGGGCTCCTATTGGAGGCCATGCCTGGGCATCGTAACATCTCGCGATGCAGATCTTATATGTGCCCTCTGTATAACGTGTACCCTCCCAATCCACATCCAACAACATTCCACATGTCTATGGATAGCATCGAGGCAGGCCGTGGGTGAATCCTGAAGGGGTGAATCCAGGTCATGCTTGTAATCAGGCAGCCCACTATGCATGTCACGAGCAAGGCGGCTCCCGCGTGCGGCGTGAGCCCACTGCAAGCCGCTGCAGGCTCAGACTGGCGGGGACGGACTCGGGAACAGCAAAAGCCGGGTGAGTGTGCGGGCTTTGTTCGGGCGCTCACTGACTGACTGCTCCAGCAAAAATTCAAAGGCGGAGGCGGTTGGTGCAGGGTGGTGGCAAGTGGGTAAGCACGTGATTAGCACGCCGCCTCGACTGGCCGTCTCTCCAAACCCAACCGAATGTGGGCTCCGCATCAGCCCAAGCCCACAGAAACAGAAGCGGTGGTAAAAAAAACCCTTTCTCCGAATAGGAACCCTTCCTGGTCAGAGAGCGCACGCCTCGCAAATTCGACGAGAGTGCCGGCCAAGTCACCGCCATCCCGCGCCTTTGACTTGCGCTGCGTCTCAGAGAAATCACAAGTCGTCTTGCGTTTCTTGACGCCCCTAGGCGAGGTCGCCCATCATGGTGAGTCTCTGCCTGCCCGCTTGATGGCCACAACGTCGCCTTGGCCACGAGAGCCATTTTACCCCTCCCCTCGCTCTGCCATCATCCTCGTCTGCCGCCCACCACAGACAAACCACCGCTGCCGCCGTCCGGAATCCCTTCGCTAACTTGCCGCAACAGCCTCCTCCACCCCACCAAAAACCAGAGAATGTTCTCAAGCGCGCCAATGAGCTCATCGGCGTCAAGCAGGCGCCCGCCGCCTTGACCCTTCTCCACGAGCACATCACCTCGAAGCGATCCCGCAATGTTCCCATCGCCTCGCTGGAGCCGGTGATGCTCCTTCTGGTCGAGCTCTCGGTCGAGCAGAAGAAGGGCAAACTGGCAAAGGATGCCCTATACCAGTACAAGAATATTGCTCAGAACACCAACGTCGGGACTATCGAGGTACATATCTATTCCCCGCTCGCCGACCCCACATCGTTGAGCACTGCCGCATGCATGCGTGCTGCCAACGTGAGGGTGAGTTCGTGTATCTGTGTCGCCACGGCTCTAACTCGTCGCTGTGCTTCTTGAATCTAGCTGGTCTTGAAAAAATTCATCGAGCTGGCGGCGGACAAGGTCACCGCCGCCCAGCAAAAGGCCGATGAAGTCCAATCCAGCATCGAGGCCACGGCCACCACCAATGTCGACGACCTCGAGGCCACCGAGACACCCGAGTCGATCCTTCTTGCCACCGTCTCCGGCGAGCAGTCCCGCGACCGCACCGACCGTGCCATTGTCACCCCCTGGCTCAAGTTCCTTTGGGAGGCTTACCGCACCGTCCTCGACATTCTGCGCAACAATGCGCGTCTGGAGCTTCTCTACCAGAGCACTGCCATGCAGGCCTTTGACTTTTGCCTCAAGTACACCAGGAAGACCGAGTTCCGTCGCCTGTGCGAGCTCCTCCGGAACCATGTCCAGACTGCGGCCAAGTACTCGACCCAAATGCATGCCATCAACCTGAACGACCCGGACACCCTGCAGCGCCACCTGGAGACCCGTTTCCAGCAGCTCAATGTCGCGGTCGAGCTCGAGCTTTGGCAGGAGGCCTTCCGCAGCGTGGAGGACATTCACACTCTGCTTAATCTGAGCAAGCGACCCCCCAAGAACGTCATGATGGCGAACTACTACGAGAAGCTGACCCGAATCTTCCTCGTGGGCGAGAACTACCTCTTCCACGCCGCCGCTTGGTCGCGCTACTACTCGCTGCTTCGCCAGTCTGCTGCCATTGTTGCTAGTGGGCATGGCAAGAAGGCTGACAACCCCCCGGCCACGAGCGCTGACCTTCAGAGGGCCGCCTCGTTCGTGCTGCTTTCAGCCTTGTCCATCCCTGTCATCAGCACCACCCGCTCGCGTGGCGCCATGGTTGATTTTGACGAGGCCAAGAAGAACAAGAACTCGCGCCTCACGCACCTGCTCAACATGAGCCAGGCCCCGACTCGTGCTGTGCTGTTCAAGGATGCCCTCTCCAAGTCCCTCCTTCAACAGGCCCGTCCCGAGATTAGGGATCTTTACAACATCCTCGAGGTTGACTTCCACCCGCTGTCCATCTGCAAGAAGATTTCCCCCATCCTGGCCCAGATCGGCGCCGATGCCGACATGCAGAAGTACGTCCTCCCCCTGCAGCAGGTCATTCTCACCAGGCTCTTCCAGCAGCTGTCTCAGGTCTACGAGACGGTTGATCTGGAATTTGTCGAGAGCCTGGCGCAGTTCCCGGAGCCTTTCCAGGTCGCCCGCGCTACTGTCGAGAAGTTCATCATGAACGGCAACAAGAAGGGAGATCTTGCCATCCGCATGGATCACGCTACCGGCGTGCTGAGCTTCGACACCGACATCTTCTCCTCTTCCAAGGCTTCCCACTCGGGCTCTGCGGCTGGTTCTGCCGAGGCAGAGAGCGGGACCGTGCAGAGGCTCCAGAGGACCCCCTCGGAGATTGTCCGCTCGCAGCTTGTGCGCTTGGGCAAGGCCTTGTACACAACATGCTACTATGTCGATCCTTCCTTCAACGAGTCGCGGATCAAGGCTCGCGATGCCGCCCTGGCGCGAGCCAAGGCCGGCGCCGACAAGGAACACCGCGAAATTCTCGCCAGGAAGGACATCATCCAGAAGCGAAAGGAGGAGGCCTCGGAGCTGCAAGCGAAGCGCGAAAAGGAGAATGCCAAGATGAAGAGACTCCGGGAGCAAGCACTCCTGGAGGCGGAACAGCAACGCTTGACCGAGGAGCAAAAGGAGCGCGAGCGCAAACGACAGGAGAAGGAGCTCCAAGAGATCCGCAAGAAGGAGGCCGAGAGTCTCATTAAGGACCTTAAGATTGGACCTAATGCTCTCGACCTCAACCAGGAGGATCTGGCCAACCTCGACACGTCCCAGATCCGCGCCATCAAGGTCGCACAGCTGGAGCGTGAGAAGAACGACATTAACGAGAAACTTCGCATCACGGGCAAGCGTATCGACCACTTGGAGCGGGCCTACCGTAAGGAGGAGGTCAAGAAACTTGGTGCCGACTACGAAACACAGAAGGAGCGGGACCTTGTGGCATACAACGTCATGAAGGAGGAGACGCTAAAGGACTCCAAGGTCAAGCACACCGAGAGCGTGGAGCTCAAGCACCGCCTGAGCCGCCTGATGCCACACTACGAGACCTTCAAGCAGCAGCTACACGCGCGTCGTGGCAACGAGTTTGAGAAGCGTCGCCGTGATGCCGAGAAGGAGCTGGAGAAGCAGATCGCGGCACGCAAGAAGGAGCACCGCGAGCGCAAGCTTCGTGAGAAAAGGGCGAGAGAAGAGGAGGAGCGTCTGCTCCGCGAGGCCGAGGAGCGCGCGGCCAAGGAGAGAGAGGAGCGGGAGAAGCGCGACGAGGCGAGAAAGGAGGATCTTGCCAAGATCAGGGCCCAGCGCGAGCAAGAGCGGCAGGAGCTGGCGGAGAAGGCGGCTCTGCAGGCTCGCCGCGAGGATGAGGCCCTCGAGCGGCGCAAGCGGGAGAAGGAGAGAATGCCCGCCCCACCTCCTGCAGCAGCACCGCAGAGGGCCGCAGAGTCCTCCGACGGCCCACCGCGCCTCCAGCTTACAGGGTCCAAGCCCAGCTGGCGAGACAGGCAAAACGCCGCCGAAGGCGCCCCTCCCCCGGGACCGCCAGCTCGGTCGGCCACCCCGATGGAGCGTACCGACTCCAACGACAGGCGTACTGACTCCAACGATAGGCCCGCCGGCGGCCCGCCGCGCCTCAACCTTCTTGGTGCGAGCGGCGGTAAGCCTAGCTGGCGTGACCGTGAGGCTTCCAAGAGCGCCGCGGGTGGTCCTGAGCGTGATCTGCCCAGCCGGTCTGCATCGGGTAGGGGCCCCCCGATGACTAGCCGTACCGACTCGGGCCGTGGCGAGAACGGCCGGGAGGCCCGTGAGCGTGACAGTGAAGCCGGCCGCGATGACTCCCCAGCGGCTCCAAAGGAGTCTCTGACTGCGTCGGGGGCGCCAGGCAAGTACGTGCCCAAGTGGCGCCGCGATAACGCGGGGAACTAGGTTAGGCGCGCGGGCTGGGAGGCAAAAAGAGAAGGGCGGTGAAAAACAGAAATGGGATCTCTTCCCTTTTTAATTTGCATCAGGAGTTTGGGTTTGCTTGATTTGGCAATGGCGTGTGTTATTCTAGCATCACCACCGGGCTCGTTTGTTAGGGGCGGTCCTGCGAGTCTTTGGATGGGCGCCTAGAATGGGAAGGCCAAGGAAGGGGCTTTAGCCACGTTTGCGTTAGGTGTCTTGGTCTTCCACCGCTCTCTCTGTGTTTGAATGCACCATTTTCACTATCCTCTTCACTAGAAGGACGCTTGCTTGCCCGGCCATATGCGACGGGCCACGCGTCCGCGCTGAGTCCTTTAGTCAAGATCAACGGGGCGCCCAGGCCGATGTTGCGGCCTTGGGAGCTCTGTATTATGTGTCAAGCAAACAGCAACAACGGGAGCGCCTGTGCCATGACTTCCATTGCACCGGACCCCCGAGGCGTCCTGCCAGGTTGAAGGATTTAACGGCGCTTAGGGGGTGGCCAGCGAGCTTTGTGCGAGTGGCCTGACACCACCTGAAATTGGGTCCACTTGCGGCTTCATCAAAACTCAGGAGTGGCATCAGAATCTACACCAATCAGGGGCTTCGGGGCTTGATATACTGTGGTGCCAGAGGGTTCAATCACGAAGTGATTGAACTGTTGGATCTTTTGGTCTATGTAGTGGAGCGGTACTCTAGCACGTTCCCCTTACACACGGGCAGTGCCCCGTACAGGGTACGAGGATATTAAACGTTACGCTGTAGGCCCAACAAGGGGGGTAACATGGGGTAGTAAGGGCACACAGCGTGCTGCACAATTTGTAATAAAAATAAATATATTGCAACTAACCAATTAATAGTTAATATGATTACCTCCGTTAGCACTTACCATCCGTAACCTCTAAATTATAAAGCGGGCCATCTTCTTAAAAGAACTAACCAGCACGGCTTCCCAAGCAGCCTGGACCGCTGCCTTAAGTTGTAAAGGTGTAAGTTATTGCAAATTATAGTTGCTTTTTAGCTACCTTTTTATTTAACCCTATAAGTTTTCGATAAAATTAAGGTGCGGGCTGTTGGAAGGCCAAAGGAAAGTTATAATTTAAAAAAGCTCGAGCTGGTATTGCGTTATCCAGGCCTTGTAAAAAAAACCGCATTATTTTGTTAAAAATATAAAGGTTAATGTCAGGAGCACGGGCGAAACCGCCCGGCAAAAAGCGGGGAGCGTCAAATGCACAGGCGAAACCGCCCGGCAGAAAAGGAAGGAAGGGGCGCTGGCAGCCAGCCGGGCACGAACCCTTTCGGGGACATGCCGGCGAGCTACCGGTGTCGCGGCCAAAGCATAACGGCAAAATTAAAAGATAAGGTAAAGCTTAAATTGCACAAAAGCGCATGGAGCGCAAAAAATTTATAAAACCGACCCCGCGTGCCCGGAAAGGCACGAAAAAAAGGGAAGTTAAAAAAGGAACAATTTTTGTTAGTAATAGCACTTTTGGTAAGAAATTTAAAAAAGCTTAATAAAAAAAACACCGTATCCGGCCCGTAACCCGGTAATTACCCGCTTTTGCACCAATTAACCTTTAATATATTGTTCCTTTTTTTACACCTTTTTTATTTAAAGAACAAGCTCGGGTAATTACCGAAAGGGATCGAGCAAATTTAAAAAAGGCATTTGCAATTTTGCACCATTTATAATAACGTTTAACGTTACGTCGAATACGTTGGAAAAAGCCGTTGGGCTACCGGAACAAAATACTAAAAAAGCCCCGCAAATTCCCAATAATTTCGAAAACCTTTCCGTAAAAAAGCTGCAAAAAATAAATAACGCGCTGGAAATTTAAAGCAAACGCGCCCGTTTAATTTAAAAAATTTAAAATAAAAGGTTAAAGCATGCGCATAAAAGTTTAAACGAAAATAAAAAAAACATTTTTAAGCAACGAAAAGGTTTTACGTAAAGCAAAGTTATTTTTAAGCCTTTTATATTTAAAAAATCGGCAATTTAGCAAAACATTGCTTATTACATTAACAATTACAAATTTATTTTCGAAAGCAAAAAAGAACGTTACGGTAAGGACCGTATAAAAGTTTAAATAATTTTTAGCACTTTTAACCATTATCGGCGGGCGCAATGAACAAAATACAAGCAAATGCACCATTTAAATACCAAAATATTGCTTATTTAAACCGATTTTTTGCGGTAGCTTTAAATAAAGTTAAAAAACCCCAATTTGCAAATATAGCTAGCAATTAAAAAGCTTGCAAAAAATACCGCTATTAAGCAAAAAAATTACAAATTGTTTAAAACGTTCCGGATTTGTTAAAATTTGGTAAAAAACGACCTTTTCGAATTAGCACCCAAATGGATAAAAACGATATTGCTTTTTAATCGGTTCCGTTTTAAAATTTAAAAATGGGTAATATTTAAAAGCTTTTTTTATATTATGGAAAAATTGCAAATTAAAGCTTTTAAAGCAAAAATAATATTGGAACCGCATAAAAGGATACCGGGGGATATAAATATTTTAACTTTTAAAAAGCCGGTTATTTGCTTTAAATGCGGGCAATTAAATTATATCGTTGCAATATGCAAAATACGAACGGATAACCCGGAAACTCCGTTAGCTTTAGCAACCATACAAAGGGCAAAAAGGAAAAAGCCCGAAGTACGGTATTACGGGTATGGGAAATTGGGTTATATCCGGCCGGCGTGCCCCAAAAAAAGCAAAATATCGCCATCCAATTCGATACCGCTATTTGGCCGTTTAAGCACCGAGGTTTAAAAGTGCGCCCCGGCGGCTAAAACGCGCTGGAAAACCGAAATGTATTTACGGATTAACGGTCGCCGGGTAAAGTTAAAAGCGCTGGTTAACAACGGGAACAACGTTAATTTATTGCATAACCGTTTTTTAATAAAAATAAAAAAATACCGATACCAAACGGGGGTTATTTAGCGTAGCTCGATATTAAAAAACGTATGTTTACGCTAAAGGTAAAGAAGTACAAAATTTGGGTAACGGATAGTTAAAGAATAACCCGAAAATTAATAATATTTTACGTAATGGTACCGCGGGCCGGGTACAACATTACGTTAAGCATGCTTTAGCTTTAACAAAAAAACATTAAAATCCGGTTTGGGAATATAAAGTAAAGGTTTCCGGTAATTATTAAAAAGGTTAAAATAATTTCGTTAAAAATAGCTAAAAAATTAATCCAATCGAAATAAATAATAGCCGTGCTAACGGTTGCACGCCCGGAAACCTTAAAAAACCCCGGGAAAAAGTTAAAAGCTTTTCCGGAATAAATTAAAAGGATAATTGCAAAATATGCGCAATTTTATAAATCGAACCTTTTGCTAAAATATATAAGTTAAAATTACGCGATCGAATTGGAAAAAAAAACGATACCGCTTTACGAAAGCATTTATTTTTTATCCAAAAAGGAATTAAAAACTTTCCGGGGGTATTTCGACGAAATTATAGCAAAGGGTTGGATCCGGCATTTAATTAGCCCCGTTAGCGCCGAAATTTTGTTCGTTTTAAAAAAGAACGGAAAGCTTCGTTTTTGTATTAATTATTGGGGTTTTAACAAAATTACCAAAAAAAACCGGCTAACATTCCCGCTAATTTATAAAATATTTAACCGGGTATTTAAAAGTTAGTACTTTACCAAATTAAATTTAAAAAACGCTTATTACAAAATACGGATTCGATAAAAAAACGAATGGAAAATTGCTTTCCGTTGCAAATATAAACATTACGAATATTTAATAATGCCTTTCGGTTTGGCCAACGCTCCAATAACGTTTTAAAGCTTTATTAATATAGCGCTTGGAAAATTAATTAATAGCAATTGCATTGTGTATTTAAATAACATTTTTATTTTTTCGAAAATATAAAAAAAGCACCGCGAAGCAATAAAAACGGTGCTAAAGCGATTCGAACGGTTTAAGCTTTACGTTAACCCGGTTAAATGCAAATTTAAAACGGACAGTATTAACTTTTTAAGGTTTAAAATAATTAAATTCGGGGTCGAAATCCTGCCGGATAAAGTTATTACAATTTTAAAGTAAAGGATACCGAAAAGCGTTAAAAATATTTAAATATTTTTAGGCTTTACGGGGTATTATTGGAAATTCGTAAAGGGTTACGCGAAAATTATTATGCTTTTAACGAACTTTTTTAGCAAAAATACCGTATTTTATTTAAGGAATGTTGCGAAAAAGGCTTTTTGCAAATTAAAATTGCTATTTACAAAAGCTTCGGTATTGGTACATTTTAACCTTTCGAAACCGCTATGCGTGCGGATTAACGCTTTGGCTTTTGCGATAAAAGCGGTATTATTGCAGCTGCAAAACGGCCGGTAATACCCGGTAGCTTATATGTTAAAAAAATTGCAATAAGGAAAATTGCGTTATGCAATCCCTAATTTAAAATTGCTAGCGATCGTAAAAACCTTCGAAAAGTAACAGCATTATTTGGTTTACTTACAAAAAACTATTAAAGTAATTACTAACCATTTAAACCATACCCATATTTTAACAAAAAAAAGGTAATAAAGCGTTAAGCAAAATAATTCGAAAATTTAGCAAAGTATAACTTTACGATTAAATGGAAGCCAAAATACCGGAACCCCGCGAATGGTTTATTAAAACGTTCTTAAAATATACCTGTAAACGGGAAAGCCAATATAGCAAAAAAAGAATTTTAAAGCAATTTGCTGGCCAAATTCCAAAAAGCAATTTACGTAAAAATAACCATTATTAAAAAGGATATTAAAACGATATTAAAACGCATTTTCGAAGCATAAGCAAAAAACAATTTCGTTTAAAGCGGTATTTGGAAAAACAAGCCCAACGTTTAAAAAATTAACAACGGCTTATTTAAGCACAAAAAAAAAGTTTGGGTTCCAAATTTAGCACCGTTTAAACGAACAATGTTTTAAAAATAATACGATAGCCCAACGGGTAATTACAAAAGCATGGCTAAAATTTTAAAAAAGTTTAAACGGTAATTTAAATGGCCGGGTATGGTTAAAAACGTACGCAAATACGTGCAAACGTATTAAATATACTAACAAATAAAATTAAAAATACAAACACTTTACGGGTTATTAACATTTTTGCCCGTGCCAAACCGCTCGAAACAAAAGCTATCGATAAATTTTATCGAAAAGTTTTTAACGTTAGTAAATGGAACCGGCAAAAAGCGCAACGCAATATTGGTAATAATTAACCGGTTTATTAAATATAGCTTTTTTATTTTAACGTTTACGAAATTAACCAATAATAAATTAAAAAACTTTTTATTTGCATACGTTTAAGGGTTATTAAAAACGCCCGAAAAAATTGTATCGAATTAAAACAAGCTATTTATAAACAAGTTTTAAACAACCTTTGCTAAACATTTAAAAATTGCAAAAAAGCTATTAATAGCATACCATTTTTAAACCAACGGGCAAACGGAACGGACGAACCAGGTAATAAAGCATTATTTTCAATGCTTTTGCTGCGAAAAGCAAAACGATTGGGCGTTGTTATTGTACCTGGCAGCGTGGGTGCATAATACGAACGTGCATTTGGGGTTGCAAAAAACCCCGGCGTTTTTGCTAATAAGGTTTTACCCGCAAAAGCTTTATAACCTTTGGGTAATTAAAAAAAAACCTTTAGCAACGGCCGAAATTAAAGCGGGAGCTTTAAAAGCAATTAAAAAGCAAGCTAAAAAATTGCTAAAAAAAGCAAATAATACGTACAAAAAGTATTATAATAAAGGCAGGACCCTAATGCTTTTCGGGGTAAGCGATTGGGTATTGCTAAATACGGCGAACATTAAAATAAAAAGGCCGTTAAAAAAATTATTAAATAAATGGTTAAAACCCTTTTAAGTTTTAAAAATGGTTGGGTTAGCCGGTTTGGCGTTCCGGTTAAAGCTTTCGGTAAATTACCGGATATATAACGTATTCCCGGCAAATTTATTACAAGCGTTTAAAAAAAAGGCCCGGCAAAAAACCAAAAATAAAAAACCAAAAATCGAAAAAAAAAAAGGATTAGCTTCGAAATAAAGGCTTTGCTAAAATACAAAGGGCTTTTGCGAAAACGAAAATACTTGGTTAAATAAATAAATTACAATAAAATCGGAAAATTCGTAAATTTTTAAAAGGAATATTACAAAAAAAAATTGTTTAAACGTATAAAGCAAGCTTATTGGAAGCAAGTTTATAGGATAAAAAAATACCGGATTTTAACGGGTAAATACCCGGAAAGGACGGGGGTATTACAAAAATGGAATGATAAAGGCTAAAA